AAAAATAATTTCGCAGGCGATCCTTCGACCCTCGATATTTGGAGCCCCGGCAAGTCATCCGTCCTCCAAAGTTGGCGCCCAGGGACAATGTTTCCATACTAAAAGAGAACCCTGGGGCCGCGCCTTTCCGGGAATAACAACACATACTCAATTTTTCCTCGCCAACATGTCCGTCGAGTTGCGAAAAGTTAGCAGGAATGGGACGGAATGAACACCGCTTGGGTAACCCCAAGCGGGTGGTCGCGTCCTGCCCATCAAAAACATGATGGACCCACGAACCCGGAAAGGATAGACATGTGAGCATGGGCACGTTTTCCACGATATACCCACGGGGCAACACCCCGCGAAACATTCCACGAGACACCCCACGAAACAGTCCACGAGACACCCCGCGAAACATTCCACGAGACACCCCACGAAACATTCCACGAGACACCCCACGAAACATTCCACGAGACACCCCACGAAACATTCCACGGGGGTGCGACTGGGTGTGGTCGTGCTGGGGTGTGGTCGTGCTGGGGTGTGGTCGTGCTGGGGAGTGGTCGTGCTGGGGTGTGGTCGTGCTGGGGGGTGGTCGTGCTGGGGGGTGGTCGTGCTGGGGGTGTGGTCGTGCTGGGGTGTGGTCGTGCTGGGGCGTGGTCGTGCTGGGGCGTGGTCGTGCTGGGGCGTGGTCGTGCTGGGGTGTGGTCGTGCTGTGGTGAGGTCGTGCTGGGGTGTGGTCGTGCTGGGGTGTGGTCTTGCTTGGGTGTGGTCGTGCTGGGGTGTGGTCGTGCTGGGGTGTGGTCGTGCTGGGGCGTGATCGTGCTGGGGTGTGGTCGTGCTGTGGTGAGGTCGTGCTGGAGTGTGGTCGTGCTGGGGTGTGGTCTTGCTGGGGTGGGGCCGTGCTGGGGTGGGGTCGTGCTGGGGTGGGGTCCTGCTGGGGTGTGGTCGTGCTGAGGTGTGATCGTGCTGGGGTGGGGTCGTGCTTGGGTGGGGTCGTGCTGGGGTGTGGTCGTTCTGGGGTGTGATCGTGCTGGGGTGTGGTCGTGCTGGGGCGTGGTCGTGCTGGGGTGGGGTCGTGCTGGGGAGTGGTCGTGCTGTGGTGAGGTGGTCGTGCTGGGGTGTGGTCTTGCTAGGGTGTGGTCGTGCTGGGGTGTGGTCGTGCTGTGGCGTGGTCGTGCTGGGGCGTGGTCGTGCTGGGGCGTGGTCGTGCTGGGGCGTGGTCGTGCTGGGGCGTGGTCGTGCTGGGGTGTGGTCGTGCTGTGGTGAGGTCGTGCTGGGGTGTGGTCGTGCTGGTGGGGTGTGGTCTTGCTAGGGTGTGGTCGTGCTGGGGTGTGGTCGTGCTGTGGCGTGGTCGTGCTGGGGCGTGGTCGTGCTGGGGCGTGGTCGTGCTGGGGCGTGGTCGTGCTGGGGCGTGGTCGTGCTGGGGTGTGGTCGTGCTGTGGTGAGGTCGTGCTGGGGTGTGGTCGTGCTGGGGTGTGGTGAGGTCGGGATTTCAAAAACAAGCGTTTCGCTCAAGACATCCTCAAATTTTAATTCGCCGGCTCGTTATTTATCATGGAAAAAATTCGCCGGCAATTCGCCGGCTCGTTATTTACCAGGGAAAAAATTCGCCGGCAATTCGCCGGCTCGTTATTTATCAGGGAAAAAATTCGCCGGCCTCCCTCAAGTTGGCACCGGGGGACAGGTTTACCTACTAAAAGAGAACCCTGGGCCCACGCCCTTTCCGGGAAAAAAACATGATGGACCCACGAACCCGGAAAGGGATATAGACATGTGGAGCATGGACACGTTTTCATGATACCCAACTGGGCAACACCTCACGACACATCCCACGAGACACCTCACGAAACAGCCCACGAGACACCTCACGAAACATTCCACGAGACACCTCACGAAACATTTCACGAGACACCCCGCGAAACATTCCACGAGACACCCCACGAAACATTCCACGACGACAGGCAACCACTCAACCAAGGCGGTGTGGTCGTGCTGGGGAGTGGTGCGTGGTCGTGCTGGGGTGTGGTCGTGCTGGGGTGTGGTCGTGCTGGGGGGTGGTCGTGCTGGGGTGTGGTCGTGCTGGGGGGTGGTCGTGCTGGGGGGTGGTCGTGCTGGGGCGTGGTCGTGCTGGGGCGTGGTCGTGCTGGGGCGTGGTCGTGCTGGGGCGTGGTCGTGCTGGGGCGTGGTCGTGCTGGGGTGTGGTCGTGCTGTGGTAAGGTCGTGCTGGGGTGCGGTCGTGCTGGGGTGTGGTCTTGCTGGGGTGGGGTCGTGCTGGGGTGTGATCGTGCTGGGGTGGGGTCGTGCTGGGGTGTGGTCGTGCTGGGGTGTGGTCGTGCTAGGGTGGGGTCGTGCTGGGGTGGGGTCGTGCTGGGGAGTGGTCGTGCTGGGGTGTGGTCGTGCTGGGGTGTGGTCATGCTGGGGCGTGGTCGTGCTGGGGTGGGGTCGTGCTGGGGTGGGGTCGTGCTGGGGTGGGTTCGTGCTGGGGTGCTCCGCACCCTGTGATTTATCGATCGGGTCGTGCTGGGGTGTGGTCGTGCTGGGGTGTGGTCGTGCTGGGGTGTGGTCGTGCTGGGGTGTGGTCGTGCTGGGGTGTGGTCGTGCTGGGGAGTGGTCGTGCTGGGGTGTGGTCGTGCTGGGGGGTGGTCGTGCTCGGGGGTGGTCGTGCTGGGGGGGTGGTCGTGCTGGGGGGTGGTCGTGCTGGGGCGTGGTCGTGCTGGGGCGTGGTCGTGCTGGGGCGTGGTCGTGCTGGGGTGTGGTCGTGCTGTGGTGAGGTCGTGCTGGGGTGTGGTCGTGCTGGGGTGTGGTCTTGCTGGGGTAGGGTCGTGCTGGGGTCGGGTCGTGCTGGGGTGTGGTCGTGCTGGGGTATGGTCGTGCTGGGGTGGGGTCGTGCTGGGGTGGGGTCGTGCTGGGGTCTGGTCGTGCTGGGGTGTGGTCGTGCTGGGGTATGGTCGTGCTAGGGTGGGGTCGTGCATTTCGCTCGAGACATCCTGCCAAAATTCCAGGAAATCGTACAAAAACAAAGGAATTAGTCGAGACATCATCGAAATTCCTTCGCGCGGGGCGCTTTTCCGCGTCGCGGTCGGCTCTGCAAAACAAGCGTTTCGCTCGAGACATCCTCGGCAAACTCTGCGGAGCAAGCGTTTCGCTCGAGACATCCTCAACGCACGAAAAAGTGGCCCGCACCCTGTGATTTATCGATCGGGATTTCAAAAACAAGCGTTTCGCTCGAGACATCCTCAAATTTTATTTCGCCGGCCTCCTTCGACCTCGTTATTTATCAGGGAAAAAATTCGCCGGCCTCCCTCAAGTTGGCACCGGGGGACAGGTTTACCTACTAAAAGAGAACCCTGGGCCGATGCCCTTTCCGGGGACAAAATCCACGTTTGTCTCGTCAACATGGACTTTCTTGTCGTCGGCGCTGCGAAGAATGTAGCAGGAATGGGACGCGGCGCACATTGCGCGCGGACGCCTGGCCAACCCTACGCGGGCCCCCCCGTCCTACGTGCCAAAGAACACTGCAACGTCGACGTTTTTCCTGCCAGCATGTACTTTCTCCTCGTCGGCGCTGCGAATTGCGTAGCGGGAATGGGACGCCGCGCGAACTCCCAAGAGGCATTCTCCTCTTCTTCCTCAGTTTCTCCCTCCCTCCCTCTCTCCCTCTCTCCTCCTCTCTCGTCCTCGTCTTCCTCCCCCTCCTCCATGCGCGGCAGGAGCAAAACGATTGGTGGTACAACACGCGGGGCTGGAATGAGACGCGGCACACCTCGCGCGCTGGACATGTCATCGCCGACGATGTAACATGAGAGGCCGGAGCGGGGCGCGGCGTACATCGCGCGCGGCCTTGTTTCTCGTAAGCGTTGCTCAACACGCGGCACGAATAGGACGCAGCTCATGTCACGCGCTGAACGTCTAGCCGCCCACGATATAAGATGAGCGACAGGCGTCGGACGCGCCGCACTTGCTTCTTATTTGTGGGAGGGCGGGTGGGAGTGGACGGAAGCCCTCTGGCTCGTTCAAGCTGGCTAACTTGACCCCCACCCCCACCTCCACCCCCACCCCCACACCCCCACACCCCGATCCCCCCACACCCCCACACACACACCCACCCACCCCTCCCACACCCCCCCCACACACACCCACACCCACACCCACACCCGCTCGCGCACGCACACCCACGCCCACACACCCACACACCCACACACCCACCTACCCACACACACCCACACACCCACACACCCACACACCCACACACCCACACACACACGCGCACACACACACACACGCGCACACACACACACACACACACGCGCACACACACACACACACATGCACACACACACACACACACACGCGCGCACACACACACACACACACACACACACACACACACACACACACACACACACACACACACACACACTCGTTGGAGTTCCGCGCGCCACGTATGGGATCATGCGCCGATCCAGGAACTCCGCGCGGAGCTCCAGCAATATTTTCTTCGAAGGAGTACGACCTGGCACCCATGCCCGCTTCCGCCCGTCCCGCCCCACCCTCCCTCTCCTAGAGGCCTCCTAGATGGGGTTCGCGTAGATGGGGTCGGAGGATCGTGCCGCATCGTCAATGCTTCGGCGGGCGATGCATCGGCGATGCATCGCCGACGTCGGCGAAATATCGGCGACGTCGGCGTTGAGAAAACGGGCTCCGCATCGAGCCGCATCGTCGATGCATCGGCGATGCGGCGCGATCCTCCGACCCCATCTGCCCCGACCACATCCAGGATGCCTAGGGCAGGGCCTCGGAGCTGGCCTCCGGCGGCCGAGGTGGCTGGCCGTCAGCTCCTCCTGCTCCTGCTCCTGCTCCTGCTGCTCCTCCTCCTCCTCCTCCTCCTCCTCCTACTCCTCCTCCTCCTCCTTCTCCTCCTCCCCTCCTCCCCTCCTCCTCTCTCTGCTCCACCTCCTTTTCCTCCTGCTCCTCCTGCTCCTCCTCCGAGTGGGGGGGGCGGGGGGGCGGCGCGCCCCATGGCACCCTGGGCCTGCCGCCTAGGGCGGGGGGCCCTGCCGCGCGCAGAGCGGGGCTTGTCTGCGCGAGGGGGAGGACGGGAGGACGGAGGGGGAGGAGGAGGAGGGAGGGGGAGGAGGGAGAGGAGGAGAAGGAGGAGGAGGAGCAGGAGGAGGAGGGCCCTGAGGAAGAAGGAAGAGGGAGAGGAGGAGGAAGAGGAGGAGGAGGAGGAGGAGCAGGGGGAGGAGGAGGAGGGGGTTGAGGGTCCTGAGTTTCGTGAGGGTCCTGATGTTGAGGGCCGTCCATTGGCCCCTCGCACACTGGCGACGACGGAAGGGCTCAACCTATGCTGGCCTCCCCTACCCACACAGTGTCGACTCCCTCACGCTGGCCTTGGGTCCTTTCTTCTTACACCAGCGCCTCAGGCGAACTGAAGCCGTACAATTGGGCGACTCGGGATGTGTCAAAACAAGGCGGGCGAGCCCACCACGCTGGAGATCCGTTCCGTAACCGCGTCGGCCGAAGCGGATGACCCTACAGCCTCGCTGTCCGATTCCTCCCCGCACTCGAGCAGAGGACCTCGGACAGCTTTGATCTCAACCGACGGCCCGACGGCAGGGCCGATGATGGCTCTTCCCGAGGTGTGGCCAGGAACTAAGCCGCGACGTGTCCTCGAAACGTTGTACCTTGAGATCTGGATGGTCTGGGCCTTGAACCCTGGCGCCAGGAGGCCCCGTGCCGCCTGATGCGCGGATGCCCCGCACAACTTGCAGACGAGTAGCCTGGAGAGCATCTCTCCCGATTCAACCTGCACAAAGCCTGGAAACCGAATATTGCACGGTGGCTCAACGATGCCCCGGCTGAATTCATGAAGCTTGGAGGAGCAGTAGGCGGAGAAGCGGTGCTGGCAATGCGATCTGAATCAAGCTGCTCCAAACAATATCTATCAATCCGGTCGAAAACTGAGGCTAAGCGAAGCCAGCACCCTGCGTAGAAGATGATGGATGCAGGGCTTAGCACACACCTTGATGGAGGGTCACGACCGAGCCAACAGGAGCGCTCTCGGGGGCTCATGGGTCCCCTCGGGGCCCCGCTTCAGGGTGTTCCAGAGGCGCCTGACAAGGTTTGTAGGGGAGGAGGAGGGCGAGGAGGAGGAGCAGGAGGAGCAGGAGGAGGACACTCATGTTCATGCACTGCAAGGGGTACGTATCCAATCTTCGTGGGTGCTTGCCTGTAAGTACGTCCTGACATGCAAAAAAGATTACATCGACCACTGGCGAACAGGGCCTCACTGACTCATCGATGGCATGATGACATTTTGGTCGCGGAAAATGAATGGCCTGACATGTCTACCCCACTGCCAGTGCCACCATTCGACTTGCCAGCGTGCTGTGGTTTTCTCGGGCCTCAGCCAGAGACCTGAATTCCAGACAGGTGCAGACGGACCAAGAAGACAGGAGGGGAAAGGATGAGCTATGCCGACCCAGTGCTCCAAGACAGCCGGGCCAGCCAACCGCATTCCCAGCGGGCCCCTCCGACCAGCCGCCCCAATCAGCCAGTCTGGCCCGACCACCCACCCCAGCCACCCAGCGCGGCCCAATCAACCCAGCCACCCCGGCTGGCCCCTGGCCCGGCTCGCCCAGGCAGCCCAGTCCAGCTAGCTCGCCAGCCGGCTGCGGTCGGGAAGTTGGCCTTGACCTGTCGCGGCGGCGGATCTGGCGACAAAGTACGCACTGTCGGCGGATAACGCGTCGCTCCGCTTCGAAAAACAGGAGGCTGGGAAAGGCTCGCAGTGTTGACGCGTGGAGCTGGGGACGTGGGCAGCGTGTCGCGCAGATGCGTGGTGAGCCAGAGCTGGCGAAGCGACACGCCAGGCAACAAAATCCTGGTAGGAACCGGCCCAGCCAGCCAGCCAGCCGATGCCCCCCCATGCCTTGAGCTCCCTTTCCTCTGTTCGGCCACCGCTGCATCGAACTGGCGAAGCGCACTTTTCTTCCGCATGGAACCAAACGACACCAGTCGTGTCTTACCTCGATCGCACAGCAGCCGCGTCTTACCTAGAAGGCACCGTTACAAGCAAGAGCTGCGCCGATGGCGCCAATGAGCCCGCCATCCGTTGTCGTGGGCAGGGGCAACTCTTGCCTCAATGGTAAGCTAAATGACGCGCGACCCCTCCCCTGCAAGCCTCAGGTCAGGGATGCTCCCTTACAAGCGGATTGTTAGCGAAACATTTAAGTACTCAAAATATTCCACTCCGACGGAAAGACCCCGCATGATAATCCCCTCGGCGAGTCTGGAAAAAAAACTCTCACCGTCGGCCTCGTGATTGGTGAGACATCCTTGCTGTCTCTTCTGCGTATGTTTCTTCTCGACCTGGCGCAGGCCCTCCTCCCGATCCCTACGTTTCCCCGTCCTCGCCCTCCTGTTTTTTTCGCGCCCCGCCACCTCCTCCCTTTTCTATTGCACGAGCGCGCATGTCGATTTTCCTCGGCGCCGTCGCCGCCTCGGCGAGCACGGGCGCATTTTCGAATTGCCGCGTCGCGCAGCCGTTGGGGCAACCCCGCGGGCCAGGGCGCCGGGGCAACCGCGCGAGCCGCTGGCGCGCAAAACCAAGCCGTTGGGACAACCCCGCGGGCTTCGAGCGGGGCGCAGCCGCGCTCTGGCGGGAGGCAGCACGAAACTCAGCTTTGCCGCGAGCTGTTCCGCCTCCGCCCTGGACAACTCCGCTCTCTTGTCGAACTCCTCGAGCGCCTTCCGCAAGGACGCTGGCGGCCCTCGCTCCAGGAGCTCTCGCGGCGGTGGCCGCAGGATCAGCATGTTCCGCACGCGCGTGGCGCAGGAGAACTTGACGTAGAGGTGCAGCCACCACTGCTCGTCCGACATGCCCGCGCGGCCAGCGTCCTCGTCTCTCGCGCAGTCGATGGTAACGCCCTTGCGCAGCGTCTGGCCCAGCGACAGCGTGGAGGTCAGGTTGGACGCGTGCGTCAGGGTGAACCCCGAGCGGCGCGCGGTGTGCGGGCCCGAGCTCTGCCACCTGAGCTTCTGCTCGCTGGGCATGAACATCAGCAAGCTCCGCGCCCGCGCCTCGGCCTGGCCGTCGTCGCCGGCGTCTTCGGCGCCCTGTCGCAGCACCTCGGCGACCTCCTGGTAGATCGGAGACTCCTTGAAGCCGTGCACCTGCAACCAGATCCCCTGCGGTAGGAAGCGGGGGCGAAAGAAGTGGCCTGCCGAGCACTCCTGTACTTATTACGAATGCCGATAAGAGTGAAAATGGGGGAGGAAAGAAAGGTTGACATCTCCTGTCTGCCCCATGGCAGGTCTCCTCAGCGGCCGCACCCGCAGGCTTATTCGCACCGGCGTTGCGCACTTCCCCTCGGCAGGCCGCTCGCACCAGCAGACTTGTTCGCACCGGCGTTGCGCGTTTCGGGGCGTAAGCCTAGGTTCTAGTAAGTCTAGTGGAACCAGAGGGATACAACACATATCTGTAAAACTACGAGTGCTAAGCGATTAAATTCGGAACGGATCACACACGAAAAAAAACATCGGTTCGCTCACTGATGCTACTGCTATCCCTCACTGATGCTACTGCTGCGTGTTCATCCTGGGGAATTGGGCCCGAAGGTGTTACAGGAATCAGATGACCCGCCTCGGATTCGAACGTGAACTCCAGGCCCCTTAGGGAGGGAGCTCCCGCGTGAGAGTTCCACACAATTCACTCACAGACAAAGTTCCCCCCTGACACTTCCTCCATATTCAGGCTTGAGGAGCCCAAAAGTGACGACAGTTACAATAATCCGATGACCCGCCTCGGATTCGAACGTGAAATCCGGGCCCCTTAGGTAGGGGGCTCTCGCCTGAGACATCCTCGCAATTCACTCACAGACGAGGCTCCCGCCTCAGGCCTGAGGAGCCCGAAAGTGAGGACAGTTACAGGACTGCGATGGCCCGCCTCTGATTGATAACATGATCTGCGGGCCCCTCAGCAAGGGGGCTCCCGCCCGAGACTTCCTCACAATTCACTCACGGACGAGGCTCCCCCCCCGATACTTCCTCCAAACTCAGGCCTGATGATGCTGGTGAGTGATCGATGGATGATGGTGTTGGTGATGAGGACCAATGATGAGGAAGCTGATGATGATGATGACGATGACGATGATGATGATGATGATGATGATGAAGATGATGATGATGATGATGATGATGATGATGATGATGATGATGATGATGATGATGATGATGATGATGATGATGATGATGATGATTATGATGATGAGTGCTGATGATGACGAGTGCTGGTGACGCGGTGGTGACGATGACGATACTGATAATGATGAGTGAGTGATTGAGTGAATGAGTGAGTGGGTGTGTTCCTGCGCGGGTCCTACGCGGGCTGAGGTGGGTGTTCCTGCGCGGGGTGTCCAGAGCAACAAGGACCCCACTTTGGATGTGGGGGAAAATACACCAGAATAGCAAACAAATACTCAAAAATCGTCCCCACACTATTTTTTTCACTATTAAAAAAAATCCTCCTGTAGAGGGACAGGCCCGACTTAATGCAAGCCCTGTGTGGTTATGCTGTTGGGTGCTACAGGCAGCTCTCTCGCCCGCGGTCTCTCTTCACCACGGGGTCGCACTTGCTGGCAACATCACGTGGCCTTGGCGGAGTATGCGCGACATACGGAAAGCAACTGCGGCGAAAGAACCACGTGCCACGTTTTTCCTTCCAGAGTTAAAACGGCATCCGTGGCAGAAATAATGAGGGAGAGCGTATTCCCTGTAGTGTTGCACTGCTCCTGCCTTGCCACTGTTGCTCCTCCGCGCGAGGTTCACACGGCAGTTCAAGAGAACTACGGCTACCCAGCATCCTCTCAGCCTCCACGAGTCTGCAGGCGAATGGAAGCAGTGATACCATTTGGACATCGGTTAAGCACCAAAGTTACATGCCCCGTTCATGACGCCACCGCCTATCAGCGCATCGCCTCGTCTCCAATCAACCGACGGAAACTATTCTTTTCCGCACCTCAATGAGCGCCCGAGGGTCGAGACCCCCGACGAACCCCCTGAACCGACCCCCGGCGTGTGCAAACTTCCACCGCCGAAGGCGACACGCCCCACGTCGAGGCGGGCTGACGTGCCCCCCCCGGGAGGGGGGGGGGGGGCGCTTCACGCTTGATGGGTACGAAACGCAGAACACATGCCGTAGACACATGCGACAATCAAAATCGTGACATGAGAAATCGTGGGGCACACCCTTCGTCGAGAGCTGAGGCTCCCAAGATCCCCTGGATCTTTCGTGGGTCCCCGGGGCCACCCAGGGGGGATAAGGCTCTTCCGCGCGGCACCTGCTGGCAGGCCGATATCTGATTTGGTGTACATCATTTCGAATTGTGCTCGTTTCTAAATTTTCCTGGCCCGTGGCCAGGAAGAGGCCCAGGATGGACAATTCAAAATGAAAGGATCTTGGCCTCAAAAAAATCAAGGAACCTTCGAATACTTAAAAAAAGAACAATGTGTACTTCATCACCCGCTTAGAATCACAAAAAAGCATACACAAGATTTGTCGGAGGTCCGCGCGGAGTTCTTGGATCGGCGCTGGGCCCCCCTCCCTGGCGCCCGGAGAGCGCCGGGGAAGGCGACGGAAGCCGCCAGGGGGCCCAGCGCCGATTCCCGTGCGGCGAGGAACTCCCTGAAGGAGTCCCAGGTGATCCATGCATGTTGCATGTCTTTTGTAGCGCGTCCTGTGCGGCGGTCCGCGGCTGTGACCGCTTGGCCGGCCGCCAGGATGTGGGTCGAGCCAGCTCGTCTGGATAGCCTAAGATCGAAGATGTCCGCGCGGACCTTCGAGACATTATTCTGGGTTCCTTAATAAGCGTGGGGGGGGGTACCCACCCGACGGGGGTCAACCTCGCCTCGTCGTCGCGCCGCGACGGGGGTCGGAGCGCCTTCGGCGCGCGGCGGCTGCCCGCAGCGGTCGGTCGATTCGATATGCGGGGCTGTCGGCGGGGCTGACGCCCCCCCCGACGCGTATTAAGAAACTCGGGGTATGCTTGTGCCTTCTTCCGAGCATTGTCTTTGGGTGGAAGGCAAAGGGTGAAATCTGAAATGCCGTTTCGATGGATTTTCGAAGCCTGAATCTGCAAGAGGTGAACCAAAAGACGGATTGATTTTCGAGGTGCAGAAGCCCAGGTGGATTCCACCCTGAGCCCTCCACCCCAAGAACATGCTCAGTTCTTGTGCTCTATGATCGCTGCCCCGCGCTCTCTCTCTCTCTCTCTCTGTCGGGGGCGCCGAAACACGGCGGGGCTCGCAGACCGTGGCCCAGGGCGCGCGCACCGACCAGAAGGGGGGGCGGCCGAAAACAGCAGGGGAGCAAGAAGAGGGGCCATGAGATCTGGGGAGGTACCCGCACTCATAATAATCTGAGGTATGGCTGTCCTTAGTCAGTAGATAGATGGCTCAGAAGAAGCTGAGCAGGCCCTAAAGCTGGTGCCTAACACGCAACCGCTAGGTCTCTAAGACAGAAAAGCATCCAGCTGATCCTCTCTCGGCCATTTTTTCGGGGCCTTGAGATCTGGGGAAGTACCCGCGCTCAAAATCATTTTTGGTCGGGCACGTCCCCCATACAGGCGGATGCTGGGAAACAAATACAACATACCCCAAACATATTCAAACACTGTCAGGAAATACGCAAAACAATCGTCCTCAAACTGTTTTGTAAATGTTTGTTGGAAATTCCGCCTGTAGAAGGACGTGCCCGACTTCGGAAACAAATGACGAACACTCATGCCACATTCATCCAGTAACGCCTCCCCCGCCCCCCACATGTTCAAAACTGGCGGTGGGTCTGATGCATTTGAACCACAGTCTCCTCCGCGCGTGCCAACGTCGGGGGAAAAATAGTGTCCATTAACGGATGTCCTCTACGTATCAAGGTCCCGGCCATGATGTGCCCCCCTTTTGCCATTGTTCGGACGTCCATTCCCGGCACCTTCTTGGATGTCGTACGTGGTGTTTATCCATCCATCCTGTCGTGTTGGGTCCTCGTTTTGAAGAAACAACGCCCCGCGTCATCCTTCCTCCTCCCCTTCCTACATCGTGTCACCCTTGCCTCTGCTGTTTCGCGTGCCTTTTCGGCACACCCCTCACACGGTTCGTGGCCCCATAAGGGACGCCACCGAAAACCCCAGTGGCAGCGTCCACATGCGCCCACCCCGCCCGCCGCATGCCCATTTCGGCAAACCGCACACATGGTTCGTGGCCCCATCGGGTGCTCCACCGAACACCCCAATGACAGCGTCCACGCGCGCCCTTCCCAGCCACCGCGTGCCCATGTCGGCGCACCCCTCACACTGTTCGTGGCCTCGTAAGGAACTCCACCGAATGCCCCAATGCGCCCTCCCCGCCCGCCGCGCGCCAATTTCGGCACACCCCTTTCGCACGGTTCGTGGCCACATAGAGAGCCCCACCGAACGCCATAGTGGTAGCGTCCACGTGCGCCCTTTCCCGCCCACCGCATGCCAATTTCGGCGCACCCCTCACATGGTTCGTGGCCCCAGAGGGAGCTCCACCGAAAGCCCCGGTGGCAGCGTCCACGTGCGCCCACCCCGCCCGCCGCATGCTCAATTCGGCACGCCCTTCACACGGCTCGTGGCCCCGTCAGGAGCTGGGCCGGCGGCCCCAGGCCGCCGGAGGGCTTGCGGAAGCATCTGGAGCAGTCTGCGGCGCGCACGAAGCGGTGCAGGAGGGAGGCGACGGCCCTCGCCAGGGAACTAGGCTTCGCCGAGTTTATCCCTGAGGCCTGAACTGGGGCGCTGGCGCGCCCGAGCAGCGCCTTCTCTCGATTGTCCAACCGAATGGCCTCGCGCTGCGGGCGACCCGCGCGCGTCACTGGAATCCTCGCGGGGCGACCGGCGCGCGTCGCGGGAACTCCGTGCTGCGGTCTGCCCAGCGCCTCGCTCGCCCGTCGTCGCTCTGCCCAGCGACCAGAGCCTTGCCCGCTATCTGCCAGCCAGCTGGCTCTCTTTGCTCTGCGCAGCGGACGACCCGCGCGCGTCACTGGGACCCCTTCGGGGCGACCGGCGCGCGTCGCGGGGACTCAGCGCTGCGCTGCGCCCGCAGCCTTGGCCTTTTGGAGCGCACGGGCAAACAAGGAGAAAAAAAAAGGGCCATCTTGGACGGTCAAGCCTTCCTCGAGCCCCCCCATCGAGCAGATCACGGACAGAGGAAACCCCGCCGAAGGCCCTGTAGGAAACTCCACCGAAGGCCCCAGTGGCAGCGCCCGCGTGCCGCCGCCATCCCACTTTGGTACACCCATCCCACGTTTCGTGTCCCCATAGTTAGCTCCACCGAAGATGATACTCACGACTGCGGTGCCCACACCTGCGAATGGTTGGGTCCTTCGCCAGGTTACTTTTTTGCCGGGTGATCCAGGAGGCTCTTCGAGGGTCCTGGCCGAGAAAAGTTGCACACGTCGGAGCGCTGCCAAGCCCTGGTCATCACCCCCTCTCGGCCGCCCCCGACTCTCGCCCGATTCTCGGATCGGACGAAAGGGGAGGATAGCAAAGGGGGGTTTGAGAATCAGCTCACGTAGCTGATTTTCCCAGCGCCTCTCGGCGCCGGGAGGCGCCCACGTATCGAAGAATGGGCCCGGCGGCGGGGCCGAAACCAGCTGCATGCAGCAGATTTCGTAACCCCCCCTTTCCCTATCCCCCCCCTTTCGTTCGGCCCGAGATTCGCCCTCCCCTGCACGGCTGGGGCCGACCAGAAAGCGCGCGCAGAGCGCGCTGCCGGGCGGCCGTCGCCAGCGCGGAGCCGCCTCGAGACGCGGAGCCACGGCGCAGGCGGGCCGGTGCCACCTCGTCGTTGGAACCGACGGCGGGGGGGAGGGAATGGGACGCATATAGATGAAGGGGCCCCAGGACACATAAATAAATACACACAAATAAAAATGTTCCCCATAGTTTCCCATATTTCTGAGGTTTTCGTCTCCCCCCCACTTCCAATATTTCCTCATATCTTCTGGGGAATCGACGATTACTTGTGTCTGTGTGTTTTTTTCCCTCCTGAATAGAAGCTTCCTGGATGGGGTCCGAGTAGAAGGGGTCGGAGGATCTCGCTGCATCGCCGATGCATCGGCGATGCATCGGCGATGCATCGGCGATGCATCGGCGATTCGCTGTCGACGTCGGGAATGCACCGGCGACGTCGGCGTGGAGAAAATTGGGCCCCGCATCGTGCCGCATCGCCGATGCATCGCCGATGCGGCGCGATCCTCCGACCCCATCTACTCCGACCCCACCTCGGAGGCCTGGAGCATGATGACATACTAATTCGCTTGTTCTCTGTTGGGCACGCACGCCCAATCCGATCATAACATACAACATCTTTTTTTGGAGGCAGAGGAAGGGAGCGGACCGCATGCTTCAACGACCGCCGTCGCAACGCGGATCCTTCTTCCTAAGCGCTGGGCAAATTACTGGCGCCACCAGGAACACAAAATCTAGGAGCATCTTGCCTTTGGAACTAGGCATTCTGCTCCAGGAACACAACAACATACACAATCTTGTCGGTGGGTATGCTCTCCACCGGCACCACCAGCAGGAGGGGGAGGGGGTCCTCCTCCTCATCCGCATCCTCGCCCTCCACCTCCTTCCCCCCTCCAACTTGTAGCAGTGGTGATGGAAGCCAGGCCCATCACTTGCAGTTTTTTTCCCCCTCAGGCAGTCGGCCGGGCTAACGTCACCATGTTGAGCTCACGGTTCTCCCGGAAGGCCGGTTCCTATCGAGACGACTTTTGCCTCACGCTTGAGCGCTTGGAGCGGAGAGGCCAAACCACGATTCTGACCTCAGACGACGTGATTTTTCAGCCGCCGGCGTTTCCTCGCTGTCGGCAACCGGGGCCCGCTGCCGGGCCCCGCGGCCCCAGAGACATGGGATCCGGGACGCAAGCTGGCCCCGTGGGCGGCGGTCGGGGCCGCGCATCGAAAAACGCACAGCCTCGGCGGATGTCAGGGGTTGGCGAGCCGACTCGCGCGGCTGGCCTTCTCCGCGCCTGGAGCGCCCGTGCAGCGAGCAGGGCGCCCGGAACGGGGGAGCCGAAACCAGCTGCATGCAGCAGGCTTCGACCCCACCCCCCTCTCTCAGTCTAAGGCTAAGCCAGGACAGGGACGGCACCGGACCAGGACGAATCGGGCATCTCTGGGATACGACGGCTTTGGAGGGTGCATCGGGCGCCGCGGCCTTCTGAGAGCGTTCCGGAACACTCTGAGGGCGTTGCAGAACGCTCTCGAGCGATTCTTCCTTCGCTGAAATCCAACGTTGCGAAACAAATCAACATCGCGAAAAAACGCGACCATGCAGGGCCCTAGACCCCATCTTCCTGTGCCTTTTCTCGAGCCGGATCGATCTGTGAATGTCCCGGGCCCCGAAACGGGACGAACACGCCTGGCTCGAAAAAATGAAACGCCAGGATCTAAGCCCAGACCCCCGACGTCGTGATCTTTTCGCAACGTCGACCTCCAAAGGTCTGCACCCCTTCCCCGGGACTGGCTTTTCGTCCCGAGTCGTTTCTTGACTGTCCCGAGGCCCGGCGAGGGCCCCTGGAGGCCGAACATATCGAAAAACCTCCCGTCGTCTTTTTGTCATGGGTTCTCAGGCTCGTCCTTCGTCTCCTCCTCCTCCTCCACCTCCACCACCTCCTCCTCCTCCTCCTTCTCCTCCTCCCTATCCTTCTCCCTATCCTCCTCCCTATCTTCCTCTCTATCCTCCTCCCTATCCTCCTCCTCCTCCTCCTCCTCCTCCTCCTCCTCCTCCTCCTCCTCCTCCTCCTCCTCCTCCTCCCTCCAGACCCTCATTGTTGTGGACTCGAGGGGGCCTGGGCTCCCCCCATCGCCTTCCCCGCCCGCGGCGGGAAGCTGTGCCCACCGGGCCCCGCTCACACGATCCTGGCCGCGCCGGCAGAGGGAGGGGGGGGCACGGCCGAGCAGAGACTGGCGGCGAGCCCAGGGGGGGAAAGTGACATTTTTTCTTAGGGAAACGAGCTCTATATACACCGACGCTTGTTCCGACCCTGCGCTGAAATTCGCACAAGAACGCGGATCTTGGTGTATACGGGATCCTGGTGTATACATGTTTCGCTGCTTCCCTTGGGAAGCGGGGGAAAAGTATACAGCATACCACCCCGACGTCGTCCCCGACCCTCAAAAAAGTCCTGGGATTGAAAGACCCCTCGCCACTGGTAATGTACATGCTCTGGTTTCCGATTTCTCTCACCCACGCACAACCGCCGCACAACATGGCTCCACGACGTGAGACTTCGGACCACCGGGCAAGCCGGGGAAATCACACGAAACGTCGCCAAGCGCGCACCACGCCACCGAAGGAGAGGGAACGCAAAGAAGACAGCGGACGGCCAAGCAGAACCGGGGGAAATGACAGGGGGCGGTGGCAACCTCACGGGATCCTGCCATGCAATCCATGATTGCTTGCCAGACCACCACAAACCAATCCGGAGGCCCCAATTTCGGGTTGGGGGGGGCGGGCTTCGTATGTGCTTTTCAATGCTCTCCGACCCCCGCCACTGGAAATGGAGGGCAAATCGAGCCTTCGGGTTGGGTTGGGGTGGTTTGGTGCGCGGTGAATATAGTTGGCTCTTGCAGATCAAACCGACGCTAGTCGACGCTGGATCGGCGCTATATCATCAGTTGCCAAGCGCAAGACAGCGCGAACGCACCCTGAGGACGGAATTGCGAGGGTAACTACATAAGGCTCCCATGACTTGCTGTGCTACCGAAAGAGGAGGAGGGGTCTTCTCAGAAGGCGGCGGGGCTTCTTCGAAGCCCTCCGCCCTTCTGAGGGGCCGCCCCTGTCTTTAAGTCGGGCGTGTCCCCTTGCAGGGGTATTTTCGACGAGAAATAAAACAGATTCAAAAATATTCCCAAATGGTCAAAAAATGCTCAAAAATAGTCCCCAGACTATTTTTGGACTATTTTTGAATATTCCCCCTGTAGAGGGACAGGCCCGACTTGAGCCTGGCCCGCCGCCGCAGGGAGGCTCAGGAGGAGACACGGGCCCCCGGGCCCAGGGAGAGCGGCCCACCGCGAAAGGCGAGCATGTCCGAGACCGCGCCCTCGGGCTCCAGAGGCCTCCCAGACGGGGTCCGAGCAGGTGGGGTCGGAGGGTCGCGCCGCATCGCCGACGTCGGCTGTGCATCGGCGACGCTGGCGTGGAGAAAATCGGGCTCCGCATCGAGCCGCATCTCCGATGCATCGAGGATGCGGCGCGATCCTCCGACCCCATCTACTCCGACCCCATCTAAGAGGCCTAGATGGTCTGGATTCCAGGGCGCAATCTCGCGGACACGCGGTAGCATTAAGTCGGGCATGTCCTCCTACAGGCGGATTTTGAACGAAACATTCAAAATAGCGCGAACATGCTGAACAATCATCAAACATAACACCAAACACCGTCCCCAGACTATGTTTGGACTATTGTTGAATATTATTCCTGTAGGGGGACACGTTCGACTTAACGGCAGCACGGATTCGCCCCACGCGGGGCATTCGCCGAAAAACGTTCCGTATTTGCGGGGTCTCGGCCCAGGTGCCTGGCCCGCGAGGCCGCGGATACGGATATGGTCCTCGCCCACGAGCCCGGGGACCCCCACCTGAAAGGTTTGGTGCATTCACGTCTCGGCCTCTGGAAAGATCTACCGGGCTCCGGGCGTCGTCAGCAAGAACAACTGGGGATGAAACGCTGGTCCTGGGGAAAGGGGTCCAGACCTTAGTGGGCCCCGGAAACGGCAGGGCCATTTTTTCACCGTTTCCGAAAAAAGGTCCCTTAAAAACGGCGACGGAACAGGTAAAAGAACGGCGTCGGAACCGACAACAAAAACGGCAAAACGGAACCGGTAAAACAACGGCCCTGTCGCTTCCAGGGCCCACTAAAGTCCAGACCCCTATAGGGGCTCTCGGACGGTCCAAGTGCGGCTTTGGACGCAACGCCTGTGTCCCGGGGCATTGGGGGGTCCAGACCCTTGGGGGCTCCGGGGCCGTCAAGGGATGAAACGAGCAGAAGACGGAGGAGGAGGAGGAGGAGGAGGAGGAGGAGGAGGAGGAGGAGGAAGAGGAGGAGGACGAGGGGGAGAAGGAGGAGGAAAAGGAGAAGGAGGAGGATTCATGGCACGGCAGCATGGGGTCCGCAAGTCGACCCCGCTGAGCTCCTGACAAGTCCGCGGCGCTGGGGCGGCGGCTGAGCGCGCCGCTCGTCGAGCCCCGACGCGTACTCGGGCAACGAACACCCGCTGCCCACCGACGACGGTCGGGCAGGCGCCGTGAGTAGAGCTGGAGAACGAGCCGCCCCCGCCTTCGGCAGAGGGGCTTGCCGCAACCGCCCGCCCGAGAGGGCAGGCGGCGGCCTGCTAGAGATTCGGATGCAAGCACGGCAAGGGAGAAGACACGCGAGGACAGGAGGGCCCACCAAAGGCATGTTCCTGCAGAGCGCTTCCGGAACATACCAAAGAGGTCCAGAAGAGGAGGAGCGAAGAGGAGGAGGAGGAGGAGGAGGAGGAGGAGGAGGAGAAGGAGGAGTAGGAGTAGGAGTCAAGCTAGCCAGCTCGAGCGAGTCAAGCATGGCATGCCCAGTCCCACCCGCCCTCCCACAACATGAGAAGCAAAGCTGGCACAACTGGGGGCCGAAGTCACACCGGCCAGCCGGTTTGGTACAGCTGATGCGGCCGCGATGGCGGTTGCCGACGGGAACTGGCGAGCGCGTGTTGAATGCCGCGCACGCATTGCCAGACGAGTCGAGAATGGCCCGGTACACCGCAGGAAGCCAGAGGTGGCCGGAGGAAGCCCGACGGTCTGACAGGACACCCCAAAGCATTTTTGTGAAAAAGCATTGGGTTTTTGATGTTTTTATGTTGAAATGCTTGCAAACACACGGTGTTCGGTAGGATTCTGACATGAACGCGCGAGTGTGCTCTTTGTGGTATTTTTTGCACAGGATTCGCGGCCTGGGTGCATGACAGAGCATCGCGAGTGCACCGCGCGATGACGTGAAATCGCTGGATTTGACCGAATTCTTAAGATTCCTATGGTTTTCCTATGATTTCAGCAAGAGAGCCCGGGCGGGAAATTTGTACAATTTTTGTGAAAAAGCATTGGGTTTTTGATGTTTTTATGTTGAAATGCTTGCAAACACACGGTGTTCGGTAGGATTCTGACATGAACGCGCGCGTGTGCTCTTTGTGGTATTTTTTGCAATGGATTATCGCCGTGGACGACAGGACGTCCATGTCGAGAGGAAAAAATAAGAAAAATGTTGATTTTGTATTGTTTTTTACAGGTTAGGATGGGACCACCCGGATGCGGCCCCTATCTGCCGGCCTGAGGGGGGAGTAGGAGTATATTCTAATAAGGAATAAGGATAGGAGTAGGAGGAGGAGGAGGAGGAGGAGGAGGAGGAGGAGGAGGAGGAGGCGGAGGAGGAGGAGCAGGAGGGCGCTGCTGGCCGCGGAGCAGGCGCAGCCACGCTTCCGAGGCGGCGTGACTGATGCGGAGTGCGTGGGCCACATCTGCGCGCGTGTTGGCAGGATTCGGAGGCGGCCTCAGATGGGGCCGATCACCATGAATATGAACGTAGCTCAACCTCCCGCCGCTGGCCGCCTCAGCGCCCCAGCCGCGTCTGCACCTCCCGCACAAGACCGCCTGGGGACGCCGCCCCCATCAGACGCGCCCCCCCCGCCGCCGCCAGTGCCACCGCCAAGGTCCCCAAGCCTCCAGAGTCCAGAGTGTCCAGCTGGAACGCCGCCCGCAGCTTCTGCTTGTCCCAGCACTCCCGCAGGCGGAAGTGCCGCACCGCCGCCGCCGACGACGCCGCCGGGTCCGTGAGGTGGCCGTGCAACGCCACCAGCACGTCCTTCATCTCCTGCGTGTACTGCGGGCTCAGCGGCATCGCGACCACGGCGCGCAGCACGGCCTCGGCCACGACCTGACCCGGCGGACCGAGCCCGTGCACCTCCTTGCGCCCTTTCTTCACCAGCGCGTGCTGCGTCTCCCTGCGCATGGTCTGGTACTCCGCCGCCTCCAGGTCCCGGATCGAAATGTCGCGAGAGCAGACCAGGCGCGCAATCGTGTCCACCACGTCCTCCAAGTCGATGAGCGCCTCCCTCCAGCCTGCCGGCTGCCGCCCGCGTCGAGAGCCCCCGCGACCGCGAGCCCTCTCGGCGCACGCCTCGTCCTACTCGTCCGCCTCGACCTCGCGAGGAGGAGGAAAACGAGGAGGAGGAAGAGGAGGAGAAGGAGAAGGAAAACGAGGAGAAGGAAGAGGAGGAGAAGGAGGAGGAGGAGGAGGGGGAGGAGTAGGAGAAGGAGTAGTAGTAGTAGTAGTAGTAGTAGTAGTAGTAGTAGTAGTAGTAGTAGTAGTAGTAGTAGTAGTAGTAGTAGTAGTAGTAGTAGTAGTAGTAGTAGTAGTAGTAGTAGTAGTAGTAGTAGTAGTAGTAGTAGTAGTAGTAGTAGTAGTAGTAGTAGTAGTAGTAGTAGTAGTAGTAGTAGTAGTAGTAGTAGTAGTAGTAGTAGTAGTAGTAGTAGTAGTAGTAGTAGTAGTAGTAGTAGTAGTAGTAGTAGTAGTAGTAGTAGTAGTAGTAGTAGTAGTAGTAGTAGTAGTAGTAGCAGGAGTACTAGTAGTAGTCGTCGTAGTAGTAGTACGAGTAGTAGTAATAGTAATCGTAGTAGTAGTAGTAGTAGTAGTAGTAGTA